GGCTGCCTACTGCCATCCCTGTATCCCTTATTCTACCTGTCTTGTATAGCTCAGTTCTAAAGGCACCTCATTTCCTCATTCAGCATTCATTCAACACCTCTGCTAGACCTGCGGATAAAAGATAAATAGTTGCAGCTCAGCCTTCATGGATTCCACAATCTAATAAATGGATTACTGCGACTTGGTGAGGGCTATGATTAGGCAGCGCAGATTGCTCCAGGAGCACAGAAGTTACCTAACTTAGATTTGGGGTTGGTTAGGGGATGAGGTATTGGTGGTTGGAGGTCAAGGGAATTCTTATGAAAGTGGCATTCAAGCTGAGAGGTCCAGGATGAGTGAGAGTTACAGATAGCATGGTGCCTTCTGCATCAGGAGACTGAATCATACACTGGGACAGGCTTGGGCTAAGAATTGAGATGGAGTGCTAGGCAGGAGCTAGATCACACAGAGTTGTGTTGGCCTTATTAAGAAATTTAGACTTCACCCTTCCCTGCTATGGGATTAAAGCTTTATCTAAAAAGCAAAGGAAACCTGGGGGGATGGGGGGTGGAAAAGGTTTAAGTATAGAGTGATAGAGCCACAATAGAAAATTTTTCACTGCTGTGTGGAAAATAGTTTCGAGGAGACATGAGTGGTAAGTTAAGAGACTGCCATGATATGCCAGAAGAGAGATGATGGTGGCCTTGACTAGGGTAGTAGCAAAGAGGAGGTTGAGAGAAGGGGCTTTCATATGGAAGAATCAATAGAACTTGATGGCTGATTGGTTAAAAGTAAGAGAAGAAAGAATGGGACATTCAAGTGGAGAGGTCCAGCTGGCAGTTGGAAAGACAGGCTGGAGCCTAAGAAAGAGGTCTGGCCTGGAGGTAAGGATTTGGGAGTCTTTGGTGTAGAGATGGCACCTGAAGCCATGGAAGTGGATGACATCACCCAGAGATGACAAAGGAGAGCCTGTGACTGTGCCCCAAGGAACCTCAACATTTAAGGTAAAGGCCCAGGAAGCAAGGTCTGCAAAGAAATTGAAAAGCTGTGGGCAGAGAGACAGAAGCAGGAAAGAAGGAGATTGTGAAGGTCAAGGGAGAGGAAAGTTTCATGGACAAGGGAACGATCTCATTGCAAAACACTGCAGAAAGGTCCCATAATCTAAAGCCCAAGAGAAGCTATCATTAACTTTAGGGAGCGTGGTTTCCAGGGGCTAAAGGAGAGGAAGCAGGTTCAGGGGGGAGTTGATCGTGAGCAAAAGGAGGTGGCCAGTGGTGACTCCATTAGATCCTTAACATCTGCAAAGGATGTGTTTCAAGGCTTTTCAGTTTCTCCAAATTCTCAAACAGAAGCTAATTTCCCCCCATGACTTCCTCCTACAACCTCGTGAGAGTCCCAGATTTACACAGCTGTGAGTGGAGGTAGATGACCAAAGCATTGTTAAAAAGTGGATGCAAGAGGTCAGCTAGGCTCACTTGTTTCCTAAAATGACTCACTCCTGTCCACTAGCCTCCAAGTGTATTTGATTATTTGACACCTCAGCAAAATGACAAATGACTGCAGGTTACAGTCTTCGGGGTTTCTTTGGTACAGATGAAGCCTAGGAAGAGGTAAAGTCCTCGAAGCCAAGGAATCCTTTTAATAAGATTGGCAGGAAAGGAAAGTAATGGAATTCACAGTATCATCTCCCCTACCACTGCTAGAATGAGTAGGTGAATGAACCATTTGATCAGCTGATCAACATATCAATCAAACTTCCTTGGGCACACTCTGGACCAAGCCCTTCAAATGAGAACTGAAGATGCAAAGCTGAAAAAGATATATACTCCCTGTCTACAAGCTCTCAGATTAGTGTGCGAAACGGACATGGAAATACATAACTACAATGTGTTAAGTAGCATGATATTAACACATTCAAACTGCTATGGCAGCAAAGAGGAGGAAATACCTAAGTCAAAAGGTAGTGGAGAAAAATGAAGAGGCCTCCAAAGGAAGGGATATATAAGCTGGCTCTTGAGGGACAAATAGGAGTTTGATAGGTACAATGGGAAAACTGAGTGAAGGAACAGAAGCATGAAAAATTAAGAAACATGGACTAGCTGGGCAATAGTACAAGAGTCGAAAGGGCAGAGGCTGTATGATGCTTTCACGATCACTCGATGCGAGTTCTCCACTTGCTCCCTGGCTACTGCTTCACTGCCCATTCCTTAAATGTCTGGTTCCCCAGAACTTTGTTCTAGGGCCTCTTCTCTCACTTTCACACTGTGCTATAGAAATCTCATCGTCTCTTGGGGTTTCAGTTACCATCTACTTGCTAATGACCCCAAAGCCTTATCTCCCGTGCAGAAAACTTTCTTGATCCCCACACCTGTATATCCAACTGTATCTTGAATATTTCTACATGGAAGATGCATGGAGACTAGTCTACAACTGTTCACTTCCCCTTAACCTACTATTCATGCTGCATTCTTCATCTCAATAAAAGGTACCACTATCCATCTAACCACACCAGCCAGAACCCTGGGAGTTTTCTCAATTTCTCCTCTTCTTTCACCTTTGAGATACAAGCTATGATGCTTTATCTTTGATTCTGCCTCTAAAATATGTCTAGATTTAAAAAGCTCAGAAGATCTAGGAACTAGTCCTGTCAAGGACTAATGCAAGGTAAGACTCTGGGCAACTTCCTACTCCATCCCCTTTTTGTAAGTTGGGGGAGAGGGGGGTCTTCTTGTTTCCCAAATCTGAGATTCCCAAGGTTCTACCTTTTGACTTAGGTATTTCCTCCTCTTTGCTGCCATAGGTATTTCCTCCTCTTTCCAGCCAAACGTCTCTATAGATTGTAATATGTGCCCATGCTTAAATTCCACCTTGTACTACCTTGAGGATTTGATTGCTGATTTCTATGGTAAGGCTAGGTGTGTTTAGAGGGTGGCTGCAGTTGTCTCCCCCGCCTCCTCCCTGTTCCGTTCCCTTCCAAAATAAATGTTTGCTGAGTTTAGGGCACCCATGACACTCCCTCTGGGCACCCTCTACTCTAATAGTATGGCTTTGCTGTTTTTTTCTGAACACAGGAAGTACTACCCAACTATGGGGTACTACTCAAGCTTGTCTCTCAGCAAGAATGCCATTGTCCCCTAAGTGGCTGAGGCAGCACCCGGCACACAGAGGGTGCTTAGTATATGTTGGTGACAGGAGAGCCATGTTTAAATCACTGCAGTTCCTTCTCACTAGAGAGAGAGAGGCAAAAGCAAAGGCAATAACAAGTGAACAAGGCTTCATGGAAAAAGACCTCCACTTAACATAAAGCTTTCCCATAGCAAAAGGTAGTAAGTGCTCTGTCACTGGAGGTATGCAAGCCAAAAGAGGCAGGGCACCTGTCAAGCCTGCAGCTGATTCCAATTCTGCAGCAAATCGGAGCCCTGCTTAGGGGATGAATGGGCAATAGAGAGCTGGACAGACACACAGGGGCAGATCTGTGAAAAAGATGGCTCTACCTGCTCCAGCCTCCCAGATCTCATCTTCCTACAGGGGCCAGTCCTGGGTTCATGGTGTCCACTTGAGAGACCCCCACACCAGGAACAAGCCCGGGGCCTGCCTTCAGTCAGAATGACCTCCCTAGGTGCAGCCTGTCCCTCCAACCTGCAACCATCTGTCCCTGCAGGTTTGCAGCCCAGGATCTGTAGCCAAGTCCAGAAGGGAGGAGGCCAGACCAAGGAGGGGCCTGGGGTCCTCCAGGCAGGGCCCAAGCTGCAGGGGAACCAGGTGGGTCCTTTCCTACATGAAATAGCCTCCGAATGATGATTCCTGTCCAGGGAGCAGTATTAGAGGAGGAAATTTTCCTGGCTGGTGGGCCTCCTGGTGCTTGAAGAGGATGGACGGGAGAGCAAGAGGTAGAAGTGTCTGCACCAGGGAGAATGGAACCCTTCAGACAAGCTGGGCCACAAGATTCCAGAGTCCCACTTAGCAACACCCCCGCCCCTCCACACACACACACACCGTCACCCTCAGCTGTAGCGTTCGACACCCTACGCCAACATACACAAGCTCCCAAACCCCGCGCTCCTCCAAGGAACCATCACCCATTCACCCGCGCCTCCCCCCTCAAACATGGACCTCACGTGAGCAGCCACAGCCCGAAGAATCCCCTCACTGCTCTCACGGACATGGACACGCCTCACGTGGACAGAGACAACCACAGCTTTTGAAATGCATCTGTGCCCCCACCCATAGACGCTCGGACAGACACACGGCCACTGAGACCCGGCCTCGGACCAAGGCAGACAGGAATACAAACGCACCCCTGGGGGCCGCCAGTCGCACTCACCGCGGCGGAGAAGGATGGGAGGCCAAGACCCGGACTGCGGCCACTCCGAGGGGCCCGCGGCGCTGCCCCCGCCGCC